AAAAAAAGAACAGGGCAATTTTTTTTTTTTTTTTGAGAGGTTTTTGCTATAGGGCACGTGCGCTCGTCAGACAGACAGAAAGAGACATAGAGACAGAAAGCGAAAAATCACCCCCCAGGGGGGATGGTCACACCGCAATCCCTTCTCCTCTCAGGATCTTGGGCACACACACACGCGACTGGCGTGAGTTTTAAGCCACCGGGTCTGGGACACGAACCACGGTCGACTACGTGGGAGTCCAGCGACATAGCCATTACACTAACTGCTGGTTCCCAGAACAGAGCAAGTTTTGAAAAAAAAAATCAAGTTTCAGTTATAATTTGGCAAGTATGTTACTTTAAGCTCGGACACTTAAAAAGACAGAGAGCCTCAGGAGCGGCTGCCATCTGTCTCCCTCCATAGCTGAGCAGCAAGGTCCAGAACAGAGGCATCCGCGGTGAGGATCAGAGCCAGGCCCATTGCTTATGCCTAAGCGCACCAGAGTGCAAAGGGGATGCCAGACCCAATTAAATTTGCCTGTTCCTTGGAAGCTTTTCAGTAAAATCATTTTTAAAAACAGCAAGCCAGGAGGGAGCCCACCTTGTTTCCTGTAAGCCCATTTCACATACTCGTCACATCTGTTGCACACACAAGTCAAAGTCAGACTCAGAAACACCAAGTGACTGGGGCCGGCAGGTGGCATGGTGGTTAAGAGCACTAGACCCCTACATGGCCAATCACAGTTTGAATCCTGGACCTGGCAGCTAGCTTTTTCACTTTCCCTCTCTCTTTCTCTCTCACTCTGCCCCTCTCTGGTCAAATTAAAATTTAAAAAGTGAAAAATAAAACAAACACTACGTGATTTCCCACAACTTCAGAGGTAAATGACAGCCAAAACTGTGAAGCTCCTCTTCTGAGCCTGAATAGAGACATGTACTCCAGTAGGTTTTCTCAGCAGAATCTCAATTACCATCCTAGGCAGCAACAGGGATGGAACTTACAAAATTGGCAGCATCCATGATTCCATCTTCTACCGGGTGGGTGCAATCAAGGGTAAACTTCAGAACCTGCTTCTTTTTTTTGCCCCCCTTCGCCACAAGCTTTTTCTAAGAAAATATACAAATGGTAAGATATCAATGTTTAGTCAAAACAAATAGAACCAAAAACATCAGCGGTGTAAAAACCATATAAACACAAAACCCATGGAGTTGTATTCCCTTGTAAAAACAGCAGCGTTGGGACTGGCAAATGGCGTGGTGGTTAAGACGCTGGACACTCCCACATGGCTGACCATGGTTCGAGTCCCAGACCTGGTGGCTTGCTTTCTCACTTTCTTCTCTCTCTGTCTCTCTGGTCAAATTAAAATAAATGAATGAATGAATAAATGAAATTGAATAAAATAATTTTTAAGTGGCTTGAAACTCATGCGGGATGTGTGTGCACATGTGCATGTGTCCAGAATCCCAGGAGAATGGAGAAGGGAATGCAGCATTGTATCATACCCTCTGGGGGGTGATTTCTCACTTTCTCTCTCTTTATCTGTCTCTCTCTTCTCCTAAGAACCCATATACAATATGAAAAAAAAAAAAAAAACCTTAAAAGGAAAAACAACCGCCCTATTCTGCCCATGAGCAGAGCGTTGATGTTACAAGGTTAAGGGTCTGGAGACCATGCCTTTTTGAATGAAAACCATTCTGTATCACTTTTTTTGAGAGATTTTTGTTATAGGGCACGTGAACCCACCACAGAAACAGAAAGCGAGAAATCACCTCTGGTCCCAGGAGGATGGCCACACGGCAATCCCCTCTCCTCCATTCTCCTCTCAAGATTGTAGATGTGCACGCTCACACATATCCAGCTGAAGTATTTTTATTTTTGTTTGTTTAATTTATTAGTAGTAGTATTTTTTAGTTTGACCAGAGAGAGAAAAAAAGAAAGTAAGAAAACAAGCCACCAAGTCCAGGATTCAAACTACAGTTGGCCATATGGGAGTCCAGCACTTCAACCCCCATGCCACCTGCCAGCCCTAGCCTGAGTTTTAAGCTGCCAGGTCAGAGACTGGAACTGTGGTTGACTACATGGGAAGAGACTACATTGAAGTCCAGCGATGTAACGGTTACACCATCTGCTGGTCCCTCGATATCTTTCTTGACCCATTCAAACTTTTCTGCCTCCCCAACCTCTATAAACATGAAGGTCTGTGAGACCAGCATATGGTATAATGGTTATGTCACTGGACGCCCAAGTAGTCAACCACAGTTCAGATCCTGGACCTGGTAACTTGAAACTCACACCGAGCGCATGAGTGTGTGTGCGCGCCCAAGATCCCGGGAGAATGGAGGAGAAGGGATTGTGGCATGGCCATCCCTTCTTGGTGGTGATTTCTAACTTTCTCTCTCTCTCCCGGTCTGGCGAGTGCATGTGCCATATAGCAAAAATCTCTCCAAAAAAAAAAAAAAACCAAACATGAAGGTCTATTAGCTTATGAGCTTTGATAAAATAAACATTTTCCTTTTATTTGCCCTAAAATTCTCGTAGCTTCAGTAAGTGCTCTTATTGTTTTATTCCACCACTAAAGCTTTCCCTCACTCACTCTGTCCCTCTCTGGTCAAATTAAAAATAAATAGACAGGGGTCAGTAGGTGAGATGGTGGTTAAAGCGCTAGACAGACCCACATGCCTGACCACCATTTGAGTCCTGGACCTGGTGGCTTGCTTTCTCATTCTCTCTGGTCAAATTGAAATAAATAAATGAAAAAATAAAAATTAAATAAATAATTCTTTTTTTTTAAAGATTAAAGTTGGATAAAATAATTCTTTGGGTGGGGCCAGCAGGTAGCATGGTGGTCAAGGGTGCTGGATTCCCATACAGCCAAACTCAGTTCAAATTCTGGACCTGGCAGCTTGCTTTCTCGCTTTCCCTTTCTGTCTGTCTGTTCACATTAAATAATAATAACAAATGGAATTAAATAAATAAATCTTTTTAAAAAAATAATTATTTGGGGTAAAAAAGGAGGAATGAGTCAACAGGTGACACAGACCTTAAGGTACCTGGATTCCACATGGCCAACTACCTGGTTCAAGTCCCAGACCAGGAGGCTTGAAAAACAAGCCTTCTGCATGTGTATGCCAAAAATCCCAAGAATGGAGAAGGGATTGTGGCATCGCAGTCCACACTGAGGGATGATTTTATATTTAATTATTTAATTTTATTTATTCATTCCTTTTATCTTGACCAGAGAAACACAAAGGGGGGGGGGTGAGTGGGAAAGCAAGCCACCAGGTCTGGGATTTGAACCATGGTTGGTCATGTGGGAGTGTCCAGCTCCTTAACCACCATACCACCTGCCGGCCCTGCTATCTCACTTTCTTCTCTCCCCCTACCCCAGCACACATTCCCTAAAGTAAAGTTAAAAAAAAAAAGAGACAGGGTCTCTCTGTATCACCCAGGCTGCCCTCGATCTCAGTCCTCCTGCCTGTTTCTGGAGCAGCTGACTTCATGGGTACTCCCAGAACTGTAACAATTTTAATGTGAAATCAATCCTTGTCCTGTAACTCTAGACTAGGGTCCTCAGGCATTTTTATCTTTCTCTCTTCATCTTGTCTCACCTACCTTTTCACAAAAAGTAAAGGGAATTACACCATATTCTAGCTGCTAGTCCACTACCACTAAATTAAAGCTTAAATTTAGGGCCCTGTTACTACTGTCAATAATTTCTGGCCTTTTGATTGGTTTAACTTGTAAAATAGTTATTCCAAAACACCATGCTGAGCAATTCTATGAGCCTCCAGTTTCTCTACAGTTAGAAATTAGTTGATATTAAGCTGTAGGTATCCTGTACAAACCCAGACACCATTAAAAGCGCAACTGTACAATCTGTGCTTCCACTTTAAACCACTTTGCAAAGTGTAAATAAAGCTTTCTAAGAACCTATCTTACCTACCTTCGTATTTAAAAGAACTTCAAATTTTCAAATACTTAGCTATTACAAAAATCAGATATTTCTTTTTACAACGTCTCCTCCCAGTAACGATCAAGGAGAACGTCACCATATCTAGCCCAGGAAATAAACACTCAGCAAAGACCTCCCCACAAAGGGCTTAATACCGCCCATCAAGGTTTTAAGCAGAAAACATACAAATGCATAGACGCATTTAAAAGTCACCCAGGCAGAAGAAGTAAGAGAACTGGAAATGTTAACTAGCAGTCCCAACAAAAAAAGGCAAGTAGGATCCTGGACGAAGAACTTAAAAACCAACTTTCTCCTAGTAACTTAGGAGGAGTGCGATCCGCAGGCTGAGTGACGTGAGGGCGCCGCACAGCCCTGCCTGTAGATGGAATCCGGGCATCCGCTCTACACTGAGATGGTCTGCTCAGCTGAACCTTGACGAACCAATCTCCTCCGGGGACGCTACAAGGGTCCTCTTGGGTAACAGGCTGACCCGGCCATCCTCCCGCGGACCATCCCCACTCGTCCCGCCTCTAGGCCATGGGCTTTCCGAATGCACGTCTCCCCCAGGATAGCAGGTACCCTTCTACCCAACCCTGCGCCCAGGTAACCAGGCCCAGGACTGGGCTCCAAGAGCCGGTGACCGGCCCAACCCACAGCTTCCATGGTCCCGCTCCCCACCGGCCCCAAGCGAGGGCCCGAGCCGCGGCCTCCTCCGCCCACAACGTGCTGGGCCTGCCAGCCGCCCTGGCCAGTCCTGGCCAGCCTGCCAGTCCACCCTGCCCAGGCGCTGCAGAGCGCCGTCTCCCACGAGCCCAGGCAGAAGCTGCGCGTAGCGAGGCCCACGTGCCTCTCCCGGAACCGAGGCCTCACGCGGAGCCATACTAACCACGGGCGCCATGGCGGCAGCGGAGGCAGAAAGGGAGGTGGGCGAACTACGCAGACGCAAAGAGCCCGCTGCGCGCAGGGCACGCAGGGCCCAGGCAGCACCAATAGCTTTGCCAGTCCCCTCGATCGCCACCATTTCACTCGGTTCTGAGCGATCGGGGAGCGATCAGTTTTCCCTGGATGCAAAACCCTCCGTCTCCCAGGCCTTAAGGACTGACTACCTGGTGTGGAAGGGGGCCGGGCGGCCTGTTCCACTGTGAATGACTGGGGGTAGGGAGGGGCCAGGCTGGACCAGCGCAAAGAGAAATTAGGGGGTTGACTCTATCTTTGAAAATCTTGGAAGGAAAAAAGAAGTATGAAAACTCATTGAACTGTAAATTACCAAGTAGTGGGACAGGACTTGAACCCCCTACTTTGGGGAGATGAACTCAGGAAAGTTAGAGGACTAGAGACCCCAATGCCTGAGATCACTATGACTTCCTTTCACCTACAAAGCCCAGCTTGGGAGCTCAAGTTCAGGGTCTGTGTGTACCCCAGCGCTAGCCCTGCTAGCTGCATTCAGAGATGTGACCCAGTTTGGCCCCTCCACCTACAATCTCGGTTTCAACCCGCCCACCCCCTGATGGCTGCTAGCTTTGTAGCTCAAGCCTTCCAGTGTCCCAGTCCTCCTGCCAGAGGTTCTTCAGGGGGTACTTAGGAACCCCTAGGGCATCCGGTTAAAATGCACTCCAAATGGCCGGCAGGTGGTGTGGTGGTTAGGGTGAAGCAGTGAAGCAGGAGCACCTCCATTTTTAACTCCTCTCTGTATGGGAAACTTGCTTTCTCCTTTTGCCTAGGGTAAACAGAGTGCTAATGCTAAATAACACAAAACTCCCTACCCTAAGGTGTTCCTTAGTGATGTAATGATCAGTGGCCAGACCCCTTGCCCTTAGCCATGAAGACCATTAAGATTCCATTGTGTTTAAAGGTTTAGAGATTGATCTGGCTTGATCTGGCTTCTGTAACCACTTATACATAGGAATCTCCACTCCTTCCCCTTGTCACCTCCCCCTCCTCAGTGATTATTGCTCCTGCCTTGTCAACCCAAATGTGGTGTTTGCATTTATAAGCCCCCTTCGCCCTGGGACTGCGTGGTTTTGAGAGACATGAGCCCCCCCCATGCTTAATCAATAAAACTCTAATAAATTTGGCTGTGTCTGGATGTCGTCTTATTTCTCACTGATTAGACTATAACAAAGGTACGGGATTCCCACATGGCTGACTACAGTTCAAGTCATGGAACAGCGGCTTGAAAATTACACCGGGCTTGTATACCTGCATGCCCAAGATCCCAGGAAGAGAGTGAAGAAGAAGAGATTGCGTAGTGGCCATCTCCCCTGGGGGATGATCAGGCTCACTGTCTTTCTCCAGCAAGCATGCATGTGTCCTATGGCAAAAACCTTTAAAAGAAAATGCAGATTCTGGGGGCCGGCAGGTGGCATGGTAGCTAAGGGCGCTGGACTCCCACATGGCCAACCATGGTTCAAGTCTCGGACCTGATGGCTTGCTTTCTCACTTTCCCTCTCTCATTCTCTCTCTCTGTGTCTTTCTGGTCAAATTGAAAAATAAGATGAATTGGACCAGCAGTTAGCGTAATGGCTATGTCACTGGACTCCCACGTATTTGACCGCGGTTCGAGTACCGGACCGGTGGCTTAAACTCATGCTGGGCGCGTGTGCGTGCGTGCCCAAGATCCCGAGAGGAGAATGGAGGAGAAGGGATTGCGGCGTGGCCACCCCCCCTGGGGGGTGATTTCCTGCTTTCTGTCTCTCTGTCTCTTCCCACCCACTATAGCAAAAACCTCTCAAAAAAAAAAAAGAAAAGAAAAAATAAGATGAATGAATAAATTTTTTTAAAAAATAAATAATTCTTAAAAAGAAAAAATGCAGATTCCAATTTGGCTAGCTTACATGACATGAGAATCTGCATTTCTCTTGCAGGCTCCCAGAATATGCTGATGTCGCTGGTCCATGGACCACACCTGGGTCTTTAAACTTTCCGCTGACAGCTCTTTTCACCGTCTGTGTCCTCATGGAATTATAATCCAGGATGCAGACATTTCTGCTTTCCCAGATACTCCCAGTTAGCTTCCATCTACAGATCCTTCTCTTGCATTTCTTAACATTTCTTTCTTTTTTTTTAAATTATTTATTATTGTTAATATTATTTTTCACATGAGTTTTGCCAGAGAAAGCCAGAAGAGGGAGAGTGAGAAAGCAAGCTACCAGGTCCGGGGCTCAAACCATGGCCAGCCATGTGGAAATTCCAGCACCTCAACCACCATGCCACCTGCTGGCCCGCATTTCTTAACATTTCTTTCAGCACCGGTCACTCCCTAGTCCTTACCGGCCTTTCCTACCTGAGCCTCCAGGACCCTGGGCTCTGCTGGTTCTCATCCCCATTTCCTGGATTGCTCCTCCTTCGTCTCTTAGCTTTAGTCCTCATCCCTGAACTTGAAGCCTGAGGATTACAAAGCTCCTCTCTTCTTTTTCTATACTTGATCTTTAGTCATGACCAGCTCTGGTCTTTAACTGTGACTAGCCACGTCTGTGTGTGCAGCCTTGTCCTCCCCCGGACTCCTGACTTACACAGTCAGCGGTGTCCTTGATATCTCTGGTCTAGAGTGGACTATCCTCACCCTTTATCCTCAGGCTCATTCCCATCTTCAACCCCACTCCCAACCTGAATTCCTTTATCTCGGTTCCTTTATCCCAAGTGTGTGGGCATGCACACACACATGATAGTGTGATTTTTCTTTTTAAGAATTTATTTATTTATTATCGTTATTTTTCAATTTGACCAGAGACAGAGTGACAGAGAGAAAAAAAGCAAGAAAGCTAGCCAGCCGCCAAGTGCAGAACTTGAACTGTGGTTTGCCATATGGGAGTCCAGGGCCTTTAACCACCATGCCTCCTGGTGGCCCCCATGGTGTGATTTTCTTCTTTCTTTCTTTCTTTCTTTCTTTCTTTCTTTTTTTTGAGAGTTTTTTTACTATAGGGCGTGTGCATTTGCCAGAAAGACAGAGACTGAGAGACAGAAAGCGAGAAATCACCCCCTAGGAAGGATGGCCATGTCATAATCCCTTCTCCTCCATTCTCTCTCAGGATCTTGGGCACACACGCACACACACCTGGCGTGAGTTTAAGCCACCAGGTCTGGGATTTGAATTGTGATCAACTACATGGGAGTCCAGCAACATAGCCGTTATGCCAACCACTGGTCCTGCCATGGTCTGATTTTCAACCTGCCAGGTCTGGGACTTGAACCGCATAATCTGCCAGTGCCTTAACCACCATGCCACCAACTGGCCCCGTGTTTACTGTTTTTTAAGTTTATTTAATGAGGTAGACAAAACAAGAGGAAGACAAGTACCTCTATAGGATCTCATGCGACAGTCTTCCCCCCAGCCCTTCTTTCTCAGCCAGTCAGGATCATGGGTGTGGGTCTACAAGTGGACCTGGAACCAAACTCTGATCTTGGATTCCAGCACCACAGAGCACCACTGCTGTGCCACCATGGCTGGGTCATCATTAATATTTTCTTCAGTGCATTTAACGTAGTGTGTCTTGGGGCAGCAGGTGTCATGGTGGCTGGGATACTGGACACTCACATGGCCAATCGCGGTGTGAGTCCCAGACCTGGCAGCTTGCTTTCTTACTTTCCCTTTCTCTCTCTCTGTCACTCTTTGGTCAAATTAAAAAATAATAACAAATGAAATAAAAACATAATTAAAGGGACCAGCAGAAGGCATACTGGTTACATCACTGGACTCCCACATAGTTGACTGCTGTTCAAGTCCTGGACCTGGGGGCTTAAAACTCATGCCAGGTGTGTGTGCATGCCTAAAATCCTGAGAGAATAGAGAAGAAGGGATTATGGCGTGGCCATCCCTCCTGGGGGGTGACTTCTCACTTTCTCTCTCTCTCTCACTCTCTCTGTCCCTCCTTGGTCAAATTAAAAATAAATAAATAAAGTTAAATAAAATAATTATTAAAAGAAAAAAATAAAACAGAAAAAGAAGCCTGAGTATTGAATCTACTTCCTACTGGAAAACAAATGCATTGCCACTGATTGATTTTTTTTTTTTTTTGGAGAGGTTTTTGCTTTAGG